ACTCTCGTTATAGTGAACTTTACACTAAATTATATAATATGTTCACTATAAAGAGATCTTTCATTACAGTGAACATTCGTTACAGTGAACAAAATCTTAGGAACCGAGGGGTTCACTGTAACAAGCTTTGACTGTAAAATAATATTTTGAACACTTATAAAAAGTGGATAGGTGTAAAAAGTTGTAATTTAAAAAAAAAACAAAAAAATTTATCAAAATGAATAATAATAATAAAAAAAGAAAAAATTTAACATTTGGAAAGAAAAAAGAAATATGTGAATGGAAAAATAGTCACCCATATGAAACTTTAGAGAATATTGCTAAAAAATTTGAAGTATCAAAATCATTGGTTTCTGGTGTGTTAAAAGATAAGAAAAAATGGTTATCTAAGGATGAAAATCTGAGTAATCAAAAATGAGAGAGGGGAGGGAAATTTCCTGAAGTTGAAGCTGCTTTATATTTATGGATGAAACAAGCTTTATCTTCGAATATAGCCATTTCCAGAGATATATTGAAGTCAAAAAGGATTGCAATTTGCAGAAAGAAGATTTTAATGGATCTGATTGTTGGTTGGCAAAATTCAAAAGCCATTATAATATAAAACAGTACTTTAAATCAGGCAAAGCAAATAGTGCCCCACTAGAAACATTAGAAAGTGAAAGAGAATTATTAAAAGAAGTAATTAAAGATTATGAACTTTGCAATGTTTACAATGTTGATGAAACTGCATTATATTGGAATTTAGAACCATCCAAAACACTTTTGGATCACTTTATTTCTGGTACTAAAAAGTCAAGGGATAGAGTTACCATTGTTTTGACATGTAACACTGATGGAAGTGATAAATTAACACCATTATTTATACACAATGACAAACACCAAGGGTTTTAAAAGGAGTCAAAAAAGATGAGTTACCTGTTTGGTATTTTTGGAACCAAACTGCATGGATGCAGATGTCCATCTGGAAACAGTATCTACTTAAATTAAATCAAATCATGAGAAAAAGAAAAGAAAATTATTTTGTTATTGGCAGACAATGCTCTGACTCATTTATTAAATGAAAATGTGCCATTATCAAACATTAAAGTCCCAAATACTACCTCACATTTGCAGCCTCTAGATACAGGTATTATAAATAGCTTCAAGGCTCAGTACAGAAAAATTTTGGTGTCTAATAGAATAGATGCACAAGAAAATAATTCAGAAATTGTTGGAGAAAAACGAATATTTTACTTGATGATCAAGATACTATTATGGGTGATGATGTTACTGAAATTGATGATGGTATTTCTGAGTTACAAGAAAAGATTAATAAATTGAATCTAGAAAATTTATCGAGTGCAGAAACCCAAACCAAAAAGAGTTAACTGCTGACTTTGCCTTTCATCTGCATTGATGATGAAATACCAGTGGAAGAATTGACTGATGACCAATTTATAGAAGTAATAAGTCAAGCAACAGTAGCTGAAATCAACAATCCAGAAGAGGAGAAGGAAGAAGAAATAGCAGTAAAATTATCAGATATTGTAAAAACCCACCTGATAATTTTAATATTAAAATGGAAGAACTAAAAGCTTTTAATTCTGTAAAAG